GTAAGCAGTCTCTGGGTTTAGACAGGTGTCCTGAGAAAGTGTGTGTGCTTAAGGAAAGAATAATGATATAAATAAGAACAGGTAACATTGATCAGCAGCTATTCTCACAGCACTGCTCTGAGTAAGCCTCCTCTGAAGTCCTCACCCATGCATCAGAGGTGGGCTGATCTGGGCTGGGCTTGGCCCCGGTTTTGGTTTGGATCCATCTCTTCTCCCACGTCTCCCTCCACATAGCATATGAGCCATGGAAAAGTCAAGAGCACAAAGGAGTCACCTGCCCCATGAGCATGTAGCTAACTGCTAACATCCCACTGGCCAGAGCAAGGCACATGGCTGAGGCCAAGAACAGAGATACAAACTCCACCTCTAATAGAAAGAACAGCAAAGGATGTCTCTTAGCTTTTCCTAAGTCAACTTGTATGGTTTAAAAAGTTTAATATGTTTTCTTACATGTTGGGTGTCAAATGACCATTTCTTTTCAAGATGGTGGTCATAAGGGTGGGGTTCAGGACTAGGTTGAGAGTTGGGACCAGCAATTCAATTTCCACTTCCTTACCCCAGGCTGTATTTCCTGGTGTTGTAACCATCACAGAGGGGGCACAGTGCGAGGTGAGCATGCCTGCTTGCTGGCTTGCTTCTAACAGTTAGCTTGGGGAATGGCCCAGGGAGGTAGGTATTGATAAAGCTGGAAGGTTGCAGGTTGGGGGCACAGACTGAAGAGGGCCTTGAAAGTCAAACCAAAGATCTGTACTTAATTTAATAGGCATTAGGGAGCTTTTGCATCTAGAAAGGTATTGATTCTGGACATCTATTACCTGTCTCACCAAACTTTTTCATTGGCTCCAATAGATGAACTGATTATCTTGTGATTTTTCAAGCTCCAGTTATACCCAGCTGGTGATAATTTGGGTGCTCCTCTCCCCCTCTTGCCTATGTCTCTATCTTACTGGATCAGCTAAAACTTTAAAAACAATTTTCAGTGATAACATGGAGAACAGGTTTCCTGGATATAGTCTTGATTTTACTAAGAATGCTTCAAGTATTCTAGCAGTTACCTATGATGTTAACTCTAGATTTAAGATCAATATCAGATCAGAGAAGTGTTACTGCAATTCTTATCTGCTAAGAGGTATTGTAAGGAATTAATGTTATATTTTAGCCCATGCCTTTCCCACTGCTTTGATATAATCATATGGTGGTCCTCCTTTGATACATTAATATGATATCTCAGCCAGTGCTTAAATATTGAATCATTCTTTTTTTAAAAAAAGATTTATTTTTTATTTGTACAATAGCTGGGGTACAGGCCAGAGGCGCAGGGAGGGTGAGAGGATTCACCAGAGACAGTAGGGAACAGAACAGGCAGACAGATCGAAAACACTGCTGAGGGGAGCAGTGGGCGAGGCAGGAGAGGTCTGCTGCGCCATGTGGGAATCTCCCTGGCTGGCTGGGAATCGAACCCGTGCTGCAGAAGCTGCGGACTGCTTCATAGCGCTGTGCTCAGCCCACTGTGCCACCAGGGAGGCCCTGAATCATTCTTACCTACCTGGAATAAACTAATTTGACCTAGTATGCTATTCTTTCTAACACTACTTGATCCAAGAGAAAGTAGATTTTTTGCAGGAATTTTAATGAATTGTGAGACTAGTCATTAATTTGCAATTTTGTGCACCTTTGCTAAGTTTTTATATCAGGATTATGCCCACTTGGCAAAATGAATTAGATTTTCTTAATTTTCCATATCTTGGAACAATTTAATATCACAAGTCTATGTCCTGAGAAGGTTTAAAAGAACTTGCCAAAAACAAAAACAATATACAAACAGAAGCTTGCCTAAGGAGCTAAGTAGACAAGGCACCTATTAAAAAAATAATTTAAAAGAATCTTTCCTATTTCTTCTAAGGTTATTGGGTGATTCATATTTTCTACCTCTTCTCAAGTTAATTTTGTTAATTCATATTTTCTAAAAATTGTGCCCTTTGTTGAGATCTCCACTTTGATTAGTGTAAAGCATTCATGCATTTTCTGATTTTTTTTAATACCGTCCCATCCATATCTCTGAGTATCTTGATATTTGTGTCTTCTTTTTTGAAACTTGCCCCAGTTTCGCCAATCTTTTTGGTCTTTTCAAATAACAATTCTTGGTCATATTTATTGTTGTGCCTGCTTTTCTGTTTCCTAAATCATTATTTGCTCTTTTTTATTTATGGATTCCTTCTTCCTCCTTCCCCTGGGTTCACTTTATTGCTTTTTTATCTGGCTTCTTGAGTTGAGTGCTTTGGTGAAGCACTGATTTTCTACACCCTTGCTTTAGAGATCAAGGTTTTAAAACATGTGTAATGCTGGCAGGAACTGTTGGGGTTCAGAGATGATCAGCCCCCATTGAAGAAAGAACCCAATCTCAGTAGGCAGGAGAGCTGGATTCCAATCCTGGCCTTGCCTCAAATCAGCAGAGGCTCTTCGGACCTGTCCCGTCCCTTCTCAAGACCCTCTTTTCCATCCCAGGTAGCCGCCAAGGCTTGACACCCCTGAGCTGCCCTCCACTAGGCAACCTCCTGTCAGGATAACATCCTCTGACTTCCAGTGGGTAGTTTTGGCCTCCCCCTCATCAGGTGGGCCTGACTCTCACCCCATCACATGGGCTGACTTTGGATTGCTTGGGTCCAAATTCTGACTCTTACTGTTCAACCCTGCATCAATGATTTGCCCTTTCTATCGTGTCCCATGAGCCTTGTAAAATGGGGAGAGCATTATGTGGTCTGCTGTCACTCAGGGGTTGAAAACTAAGTGAGTACATAATCAAAATACTGAGAACAGAGCCTGGAACTTTGTAATCCCTATAAGCCTTTGGGGTTTGCTGTGTCATTGGATGTATCAACCCCAGGCTGGAGCCTGTCTCAGTCTGGCCTCAACACTTTGATCTTGAAGGGACCAGACTGACACTTGTGCTCATGGGCTCCCTCAGACATCTTTGCAGAGCCCAGGGCACAGAGTCTCTGTAACCACTGTGGTTACAGCACCACGATGCTGCTGAGGGTAGAGGAGGGGTCTGGGCTAAGGTACCTGCTCTGCCCCCACCCCCTGTGAGACCTGTGCCAGTTGCTCCCCACTCACCGTGGCTGGCTTTTCCATCTGCTAAATGGCAACAGGAGCTGGTGAAGAAGAGCAACAAGGCCCTTCTTGCCCGGGACAGTTACCCCTGACGAGCTGCTGGTGGAGGGAAGCATTATGGACTCTGGAGAGCTCCTACTTTAGCAGGGCCTCATCACTCCTTTGCTTGACAAATCCTATTCCAACCTTGGGTACGAGACTTGCTCCCGGAGCTGACACTGCATGAGCAGGGCTGCCATAGAGGGTGGTGGGTGCCGGGTCAAAGGAGGATGAGAGGGGGAGACAAAGAGGCCTGGAGTGGGGCAACCCCCCTTAAATCACCTTATAAGTTTGGTCAGTTTTGCCAACTTCAGTTTTGTGTTTGATTTCAACTCTCATGGGGAGTCATACGCGGCTCGGGTGGGGGATTGAGAAGTCCCAGTGCTAAGTCCTGGGGCATTTGCTCCCTTGTAGCAATGCCTCCTGTGAAGACATGTGAGCTGCATTTATCACAAGCCAGGGAGGAGATGTGCAAAGAGAGGGAGGGAACCCCTTGTCTGGCAGCTGCCTGGTGTTCTGGAAGGTAAGCAAGCAGAACCTTGGGAAATGAGGTAGACTGATGCTAGAAGGACTGTTCACTTATCCAGGGAACGTTCACAGGCTCATCCATGTGCTGGCTTGGATTCTTCAAGGGGAGCTGGTGAGAGGTGGCCCCTCTCATTGGGCCACCTGCTAGTTGGCCTGGAGCTCAGTCAGCTACCTGTTCTGCCTGCACCACCTGCTTGGGCCAGTAGGAGACTCCTGGGGCTCCGCTGGCTCCGTGTGGTGAAGAGCTGCCCCCCCATCCCAGCACACCCCCAGATCTCTTCTGGTCTCCCCAGTCCTCAGAGTCCACATCCAGAAGATGTGTAGGCTCCGCCTCCCCGCCCTCCTCCCGAGACCACCTCATTTCCCATCCACTGGCTGGCACTTTCTGGGGTAACTGCCAACTTTACCCACTAGTCTGACTGCCAAGGTCCAAGTTATTGGTGATCACTTCGTCAATATATACAACTGGCCGTGTTTGAAAGGGCTGTTGCCCCTTCTTTTCCTAAGACATTCACAGACCTCAGTGGCCTCTCCCATGCAGGCCCCTGCTACCTTGGAATTCTTTTCCACCTGGTCTGGAAACCAGCACACTTGGATGCTCTGTTCATTCATGCGTTTAAAAGAGCCTACCAGATACTAAATTCTGTGGGGAAAGCAGGTTTTCTGGGTTGTCACCCCTGCCCTCAAGGAACTGCAGAAAGAGGACACGCATCCACTGGAGGGCCTGCCGAGCCTTAACCCCCAGGTCCCAGTGCCCAGAACACAAGGTGCTTCCTGCACTTCCACTGAGTGAACGAGTAGCTCTAGGCCATAAGAGGAAGAATCCTCTAGCACCTGATCCAAATCTAGGGGTCAGAGGCATTTGCCCACTGTTGAGGAGGAGGAGGAAAGCCCTTGGTTGGTCTTTAAAGGTGGGTGGCTTGGACCGTGTGCACCTGGAGGAGAGGGTGCTTCGTGCAGAGGGCACGGCAGAAGCCAAGGTGTGGAGGTGAGAAATCCAAGCACTCCTTGGGGAGTAGAGAGAAAGGAGCTCTTCCAGGGACAGAGCTCTGCCAGGAACTCTGCCGTGTCCCTGGCAGAGCTGTTAGTGGTTCCTGAATGGAGCCAGGGTGGCTGTGGAGGGATGTGTGTGTGTGTGTTTATGTGTGTGTGTGTGTGTGTGTACATGTGCGCATGCACAATTGCATGAGGTCTGGGGCTGGGGGCACACTGGTGTTCAGCATCCAGACGTGACAAATGTGCAGAAGTGTCCAGGGAGCTGTGGACACGAGCAGCTGGCCGCGGAGATGCTCACCCCATGATTTGTTGCTTTGATTCCTCAGGCCGTGACTTGGCGAGCACAACCCTCCCCGGGTACCCTCCACACGTCCCCCCCGCCGGACAGGGCAGCTACTCAGCACCGACGCTGACAGGGATGGTGCCTGGTGAGTTTGCACTGTCGGCGTCTCCACAGCAGGCCGCGCATGGGGTTTCAGCGGGGGGCACCCCCCAAACAACCCGGTGACTTCTTTACTTCTGAGAAGTGGACCTGAATTAATCAGGCAGAGGTCTCAGCTCTTGGCCTCTTCCTCTACAGCTGGGCCAGCAGCGGGGCCAGGACCAGTCAGCAGCAGTGCCCAGAGCACATCAGAGAGAGGGGCCCCTCACTGGCCACACGGGGAGTCTGAACAGAGGGTGCAGCAGCTGAAGGCGACCCAGCCCTTTGGGAGTGGGGCCCTCCATCCTTTCTCCCCTCACCCACTTAGTATGCTGTGAACTCAGGGGAGCCCCTGTCTACCCCCCCAGTGATCTCAATGGTCTTACTCTTTGGCTGAGGGTCCTGTGCTCAGGACAGACAGGATGTGGGATTATTGCTTGATTCTAAGCTGAACACCCTGTGGCCACTGAAACCTGATCCCTTCAGGCCAGTGATGTGTCAGTTTCTTTCAAAACATTTGGAAAGGCAGCCCCCAAGTCTCCTTCAATAGTGGGGTGATGTGGGGTCGAGGCAATGCATCCCCAAGGTGCTGGGCTTTCCATGGACTAAGGGCATCAGCATAAGCAGGGATACCTAAAGTATCATTCTTTGAAAGTTGTTTTTTTTTAAAATTGGGGGAAATCAGAATTGGTTGGATGTTGCTTCACTTCTTTTATGGGTTATTGTTGTCTCTGGTTTCAAGTCATTCATTCAGTGCTGGGGACTGTCTCCTAACACACGCTGTTGACTCTCATGAGTGTTGGTTATTCCTCCCCACTGAGACAGCTGTCTTGTTGGAGCCTCATAACAGCTCTGAGAACTGGGCGGTGGATCATTCACCCCACTTTCTTGATGAGGAAGTTGAGCCCAGAGAAGGCCTGGGACTTGCTTAGATCACCCAGCAAGTAGGAGCAAGAGCCATGTCCAGAGCCATGACCTGGCATGAACTCTCCTTTGAGGGTCCTGTCTGGCCCCACAGGGCAGTGTCTCCCCGGCCCACAGACCGGGGAGCATCTGCAGGGACCAGGGGACGTGGCCACCTGGTGCCCACATTCCTCTTTCTATCCCACCCTGGGGTTCTGCCCAAATAGCCCCAAATCTCCTCTCTAGCCCAGCTCATGAGTGTGAGCACCCCTGTGGACAGCTGGTCGTGGGGGTGAGGACAGAGCTGGAATGTGAGGCTTGGGTGTCCACAGCTGTGGATGGTGAGGGGGCGGGGTGGGAAGGGCTGCAGAGCAGAGGGAAGCCCCACGAGCCTCGTCCTGGTGCAGACGCTGAGGCGTCCGAGGGCTCTGAATGCATCCTGGCCTTCCAGGTTGTTACGAAGATGTATTTAACAAGGTGGGAGGGTAGAGCATATTTCATTTAACGGTTTGTTAGTTTGATTTATGACTTTTAAATATGAGACATATGGGAAATGGCCTCCATGTGTACTCTTGCCCTGGGCCTTGCCAATGCTGGGGAGGCCTGCCAGGCTCATGCCAGCAAAGCCTTTGCCTTTTCTACCCATGGCAGATCATCGGGAAATTATTCACAGTGCACCAGGCAAACAGAGGTGGGGGACACACCCCTCTACCTCTTCCCGCCTACCCCATCCTCCGCTCATTGCCCAGCCCTTGGCAAGTTAGTGCAGCCTCTGGAGATGGAGCCCACGTGGTGTCCATTTGTGGGCCTGGCTTCTGTGTAGTGCTTGATGGAAGGCAGAGTGCTTTCCCAGGAGCACTTTCACATTCCAGCCTGTGAGGTGGGCAGGTTCAGGAGTCCAGCCTCCCTCCCCCCCGCTCCATTTTCCAAAAGTGAAGCTGAGGTTCAGAGAGGTTAAGGGGCTGCCACAGCGGTGCAGCTGGCAGGTAGGAGGACCGTGATCTGGGGCTTTGCCTCCAGTTCAGCACTCCCTCCTCCGCCCTCTGCCGCCAGTGGGCTCTGGGCCCCTCAACACAAGCTTCTCAGGGACACCAAGCAGAGGCAGCGGCAGCCCGGGGCCCTGTCCGCCCTGTCCTGAGGGCACGTTGGCCGGTGAAGCTGAGGCCACCCAGCTGCCCCTGCTAGCACCTGACAGCAAACCCCAAAGAGGCTGAGTTCAGAGAAACAGCAGAACTTGCCCAGGTTTATCCAAACGGAGCCCGCCCCAGGCCCCTGTGATGCCGCCAGCCCTAATGCCAGGCTCAGGAGGTGAAGGGCCTGGGCCTGGCAGAGCCCCCAGCAGGAACCCAGGAGTTTCCTTGCCATTAACGGTGGCCCCAGGAAGCTCAAGCCCGAGCTAGGGCACAGACTAAGGAAACCTGCTGGTAGCACCTGGACATGGGTGACCCCAAGGTCCCCTGAAACTCTGTCCCCTGGCATAGTGGGGGGGTCTCCAGGGAGGGAGGGAGACAAGCATTTTGGCAGGTCTTCCTCCTTTCTCCCTCCACTCCTTGCTTCTCCGCATTTCTCCTCTCCTCCCTCCTCTGTCCTCTTGTTTCTTCACTTGTTTTCTCTTCTCAGACACCACCCAGCGCCACTCAGTGCCGCACTCACTGTCAGGGCCGGAGCTCCATGCTTGGTGGGCACAGTCCTTAGTGCCTGTTTCTCAACACCCAAAGCAGAGAGGGGGCTCGGGACTCTATTTACAATGTGATCTCCAAATCTGATTCTTCCATAGCTCAGCGGGGCGGGGCAGTGATGTGCAGTTCCCAAGGTCCTTGTTGGCACTGCCCTGAGGCTGGGCCCACAGCCGAGATGCCCACCTGTCAACAGAGCAGGTCCTGGGCCTCCCCAGGTCTGGCTTCAGCTTGTAGTTCTGATCTCCTCCCCCAGCCCTTTCCCCATGTGGCCTCTCCCTGGTTCCCAGCACAGCTCACGTTCTTACTGGTCAGTGACTGTTCTCATCCTGTGCCTTTGACTGAGGCCATCTCCTGCCTCCATCTACTGGAATCCACCTTCACCCTCTGGGCGGAGCAGAAACATCTGCCATTGGCGGTGACCCCACACGTGTGAATCTGGGGTCCTGCTCTCTCCTATGGGAGGTGAGCTCCTTAAGGGCAAGTCCTCCGCCTTATTAGTCTCTTACCCTTTCCCTGTCCCTAGCACATAGTAGGTTCTTCTGTGTGTGTTGGCCAATGGAGGGAGGCAGGGAAAATTAATATTGACCTGTGTGTTCATCTCCTATGGCTGCAGTAACAAGTGCAATCACAAACTAGGTGACTTAAGAAAACAGAGATGATTTTCTCTCACAGCCTTGAAACCCAGCATGGCCTCCAGAAGCTGGTTTGCCTCCTTGTGGCCCCTGGCATCCTTGGCTGTTTCCCTCATGCTCAAATCTCTCTGCTTCTCTTCATAGCACTTTCCCTTCCATGTGCATCAGAAGTCCCTCCACCTCTCTCTCTCTCTCTGATAAGGAGACAAGTGATTGCATTGAAGGCCCTCCCAGATAGTCCATAATAATTTCCCATTTCATGATCCTTAGTCTGCAAAGAACTCACCCCCACTTTTGGGGGCATATAAGTAACAGTCAGAGATTCCAGGGATTAGGACACGGTTAGACCTCTACTTATGTGAGAATTTCAACTTTGTATATGTTTGGATTTCTGATTCCTAACCTCTTAGCCTTCTGACCCTGGGAGATATTTGTTTGTGATCACAGGGCTGAGATGATCCCCTGTGGTAACCCCCCAGGCGAGCGGACAGGGTTTGGAGAAACCAGTGGACCAAGCCTTTGCCTCCCTTTATCCTGCTTTGTCTCCAGGCTGCTTCTCTGTGCGGAGCTGAGCGGTCCTCCCTCCTCGCCTGAGGGAAACCAGAACTCTTCTGGGTCTCTGCCGCCCTATGTTTTGGGAGACTTGGCTGCACCTCTTTCACCTATGAGGCAAGGCTTCCAAACATAAGGTTTGTTTTATGGCTTCTGGAGGAGAGTTGCCTCTGGGGTACACTTGACAGTTGAACCTCTGGGTCTGCGAAAGGAAATGTTACATCTTCCAACTCCACATATTTCCATTACATTCTGGCAGCTTGGACTCTTGTTTCTTTTGAATCCAGATTCTGCCAACAGGGTACCATGTGCCCTTTCTGGCTCCAGGGCATCCTCATGCCTGCAAAAAACAGGGTTCTCCTCTAGTGCTCCTAGATTCCCTCTCTGCAGCTCTGCGAGCCCCGTGTCTCTGCCACCCACTTACGTTGACTGGAACACAGCACATCCTATCAGCTGAGGATGGAGACAGGCTTCAGATTTTATTTTCATCAAGTGCCAGCAAATGCCAAAAGTTTTGCACCAAAGATTCCATAGAGTCTTGATTGGTGGAACTAGTTGTTTCCTGCCTGAAGATATTTGCACAGCCTAACAGATATCGACATGGCATTTGAAACTCTTAAAAATTCTGGACTGGGGGGAAGGAAGGGTGTTCACTGCCCTTTCGCTTTAGTGAGTCTAAGCCGCAAGGTAACCGGCTCTGAGATGAACCAGTCAAGGAAGGCCTGCCCCCCACAAGCCCCCCTTCTCATTTGACTGCTCTTGGGGCCTTGAAGCCAGAGTCCCTGGGAATCCTGACCATGTTGCAGCAGCCAAGAAGCCCACCAGGAGCAGCCGAGGAGCGTGGCGCCCTCCTAGCCTGAGTATTCCACTTACCAGAGACTGGTGTCCGCCATTTCTAGATGCCTTTCAATTACATTGCTCAGTTACCTGATGGCTTTTATTTTCTTGAAGTGGAAGGAGAGGATGAGGCTGGAGCAGGAACCTGGGAGGTGGGCAAGCAGGAGGAATGAGAGCCCCCCTACCCCCCCTAGCACCTGCGATTTCCTCTCCTTGGGCACTCAGCCCTCTCTGCTCTCCCATGGCCCACTGGCCCAGCTGACCTGGCCTCCTTTGTGGGTTTCACCTCCTCAGAGGAGTCTTTCCCACCACTTAATGGATCTTAGTTTCCTTTCACTGCTATAATGAGTTATAACTTACAACAATAGACATTTCTTATCTTAGAGGTCAGAAGTCTAAAATGG